TTCGATCAGCTGACCGAGTCGCAACGTTTGATTCGAAGTGAGCGAAAGACGTGAAAACAAGTCTTATGAGTGATGTTCGTTTGCCATGTGATCTTCGATCGGCTGACCCAGTCGCAACGTTTGCTTCGAAGTGAGCACAAGACGTCAACAGAATTCTTCTGAGTGATATGCGTTTCCCATGTGATCTTCGATGAGCTGACGCAGTCGCAACGTTTACTTCCAAATGAGCCAACGAGGTGAAAAGAAGTCTTATGAGTGATGTTCGTTTCCAATCTGATCTTCGACCACTTGACCTAGTGGCAACGGTAGCTTCGAAGTGAGCAGAAGAGCTGAACTGAAGTTTTTTCAGGAACGTTCTTTTGCCATGTGAGGTTCGATCAGCTGACCCATTCGCAAGGTTTGGTTGGAAGTGAGCAAAATAGGTGAAAAGAATTCTTTTCAGGAAATTTCCTTTGACATGTGATCTCCGATCAGCTGACCGGTCGGAATGTTTGCTTTGACGAAAACAAAGCAGGTGAACAGAAGTATCGTAAGGAATGTGCCTTTGCCATATAATCTTCGATCAGCTCACCCAATCGCAAGGTTTGGTTCCAAGTGAGCAGAAGAGCTGAACAGACGTGTCTTAACCAATGCTTCTTTGCCATGTGATATTCGATCAGCTGACCCAGTCATAACGTTTCCTTTGATGGGAGGAAAAGAGGTGAGAAGAAGTGTGGTAGGGAATATTCGTTTGCCATCTGGTGTTTGAAGAGCTGACCGACTCGAAACGTTTGTTCGAAGTGAGCAAGAGAGATGAACAGAAGTGTGCTAGGGAATGTTCCTTTGGCATGTGATTTTCGCTCCGCTGACCGAGTCGCAACGTTTGTTTCCAAGTGAGCAAAGGATGACAACAAAAGTCTGGTAAGGAATGTTCGTTAGCCATGTGATCTGCGATCAGCTGAACCAGTAGCAAAGTTCGCTTCGAAGTGAGCAAAACAAGTGAACAGGAGTCTGGTTATCAACGTTCCTTTGCCATGTAATCTTCGATCAGCTAACCAAGTCGCTACGTTTGCTTCGAAGTGTGCAAAAGACGTGAACAGGACTCTGATTATGATTGTTCCTTTGCCATGTGAGTTTCGATCCGCTAACCGAGTCGCAATGTTTGCTTTGAAGTGAGCAAAAGATGTGAACAGGACTCTGATTATGATTGTTCCTTTGCCATGTGATTTTCGATCAGCTGACCGAGTCGCAACGTTTGCTTCGGAGTGAGCAAAAGAGGTGCGTCGTAACATCACGTGTGCCTATGCGAGAGGCACTAAGCTGTTGTGGGATTGGTTTTTACTTTGGGTGTGGGTGTGTGTGTGGCGGTGGCTGTGATCTTCTTTTATCGCGCACCCACACCCAACCACACCCACACCCACACCAACACCAACACCAACACCCACACCCACACTAACACCCACACCCACGCCCACCCACACCCACGGCCACACCCCATAATATGGTCTAATAAAAGAAAATAAGCAATTACTGGAAAGTTAATATTTACTATTAAATGTTTAATGTTTGTTTAATTGTTTAGTAGCTCTTCTTGTTTTAGACAAAATTATTTTTGATCTGACTAAATTCTTCGCATTACTTCTTCATTTCAACGAAAGAATAGACTTAATACAATCTCATGTAAATGTGTATTTCAACATTCTTCTGATATATATATAATACAGAGTATTAATTCCATGATAATTTATAACATTTTAATAGAGAAGTCAATTTACAAACTAGAATTCTTCCGTTTTTGTTATATCAGATATTGCACTAGAATCCCCTATAAATACATTCACAGTTTTATTATCTAATAAATGTGTAGCAGTCTTATCATTTGAATTTTGGTTTCTTTCATAGATATTATTCAAAATAATACTAACCAAAAATCTTTCTTTTCTTAATTATATTCGTATTTACTTACAAACTTATGTATTATCACACTTCATTGCAGCTAGATGTGTTGTAGCATTTTGAGTAAGTTCGTTTAATATCAACTCTGTTTGGTTTAAATACAAGATTTATTTTATTAGATACATCATCTACACCACATGTATTGCAATAACCACCATTATAACTTGATGGAAATTTAAAACAATTAGTAAATAGAGTGTCGGTATGAGTTTTCACTTCAACTACATCTAAACTCATACACTTAACTACACCTACAACCTTCTTTCATATTCGGAACCAGCAAAGTGTTTTGTGTCGAATGTTGCAAAAATTATTTTTGTTAGAAAATGCATAAGTAATTAGTGGCACACAAAGAGAGATACTAAATGTCGCTGCTAGGATTTCTATGGTTATCAACATACTAATACAACAATGTTGGGTATGTATATGAGTATATCTTCTTTTTCACCTACACCCACACCCACACCTTCAAGTCTTGTAATCTTATGTTTAATTTTGTCTAAACCTCACTTTTGCCTAACACATATCTATAGATAAAACAAACAAATAATGTTCTATTAATATGCAGTGAATGGCAGCAGTCTTCTATCTTTTTTCTTTTATTGAAATTAATTTGTTTAGAATGCAAGAGAGAAATTCCAAAAGCAATGGTTCGTCAAATGAAATAGACGGAAAGTATGTCATTGTTTACATGAATATATATATATATGTGTGTGTGTATAACTCAATATGAATGTACAATAGAAACGAACATAAAAACATGAGCGTTAGTTCATTCGAAATTTTACCTGATGATATTCTTTATGAAATTTTTGGTTATTTATCTCCAGTTGATGTTCTTCGATCATTTTTTTTAATGACTAAACGTTTATCAAGTATAATAATAAATGAATATTTATGGCACATTCATATTGGTGATTCAACAATGTCGTTATTGATGTTCAATGATCATTGCCAAAATGTCTTGAAATTAATAGGAAATCGCGTTGTCTCATTACGTCTAATATTAACCAATACTATTGGTGGATGGTCACTCATTTCATCTTCTCTTCGGTATCATCAGACAACATTACTTCAACGTCTACATCTGATCGATATTCAACCACATGAATTTGATAAATTACTGCGTAATCATTTAATAAAACAATTACATACGTTATTGGTTGATGTGGCACCATCTAATTCGTTCAACTCTATTCAAGTTGAAGGAGTTTATCTAGTTAACGTAAGAAAACAATTATTTCTTCTATTCACTATGGAATTCGGATTTTTTTTTCTGTTAGCAACGACTTTTGAAATAATGATGTACAAAAATCTAATTTTTCTTTATTTAATAAAAGGTGTGTTTACAACTGCCTCTTCTAAGAATTTGTCGACTTCCATTTAATCATGATAATGGGAATGTCAATCAAATAAAAAACTATTCATTAGGGTATCAAATGATTTTATCAAATTTATTGAATGCAAATCATCTTCGTACATTGACTATTGGTATACACACATCATGCTTTCTCGAACGTTTACTATTATGTATACCATTTATTGAGAATCTTTCTCTTGGTATACAAGATCAATATATTAATGAAAATGTTGCACATGAGATAATCTCGTAAATAGCATACTGTCAGTGGCGGCGGAGCCTGCAGGCCCAGTGAGGCTTGAGCCTCACTTGTTTTTGGCTTCTGTAGGATCAGCCTCACCTGATTTTAGCTCATACAGACTGAAGATCAGTTAAAT